TTCTGAGTGATAACCTCTCCAGATTCCTGGACCGAGTCCTGCTGTGGAGAAAGAGATATTAAAAAAAAAAAAAAAAAAAAAAAGAAAGGACAGACCTTTGGCTTATATCAGCTGGGAATCCATACCTTGCTTGGAGCTTTGGGTCTGAGCATTGCAGGTCAAGATTGCCCTCTGGTGGTCTTAGGCCAGACATACAAGCAAAGTTTGAAAATTTCACAAGCTTTATCCTGCGCCAGGCAATCCTCATCCCTAATGCTTGCTAGGGACAAATGGACATCCACGTACCATTTCTGCTCTACACATATGTAAAAGCCATAAATCAGGCCAGAAAATAAATAAAAGGTGTTCTCTTATTCTACCTAGAAAAATAAACTTTTTAAATTTATTTTTTATATTTTCAAATTTTTATTTAAATTCTAGTTACTTAACATATAGTGTGTAATATTGGTTTCAGGAGTAGAATTTAGTGATATCACACCCGGTGGTCAACACAGCAAGTATCCTCCTCCTTAATACCCACCACCCATTTAGTCCATCCTCCTGTCCACCTCCCTCCAACAACCTTTAGTTTATTGTCTATCGTGAAGAGTCTCTTATGGCTTGTTTCCCTTTTTCTTTTTTCTCCCTTCCCCTATGTTCATCTGTTTCATTTCTTAAATTCCACATATGAGTGAAATCATATGGTATTTGACTTTCTCTTGACTGATTTCTCTTGGCATAACACAGCCGACTGTGTTATGTTGTTGTATGTATGTATGCATGTATGTATGTATGTATGTGTATGTATGTCCGTCCATGTTGTTGCATATGGCAAGATTTCATATTTTTGATGGCCGAGTAGTATCCCATCGCGGGGATGGGCGTTTGAGCTCTTTCCATAATTTGGCTATTGTTGATAATGCTGCTATAAATGTCCTGGTACGTGTGCTCCTTTGAATCAGTATTTTTGTATCTTTCGTGTAAACACCTAGTAGTGCAATTGCTAGGTCATAGGGTAGTTCTATCTTTAACTGAAAAACATGCTTTCAAAATAACCTGGAAGCCCATTCTGGTAAAAGTCTCTCACTCCTTAGAATTTTGTATCAAACATGGAGACATGAGGACAGTCTCAGATCTAGCCTCACTCCAGATCGGCTCTGCTGTAATTTCCAGGGACCACTCCATCATGCCTGTAGACACCCCAGCCTCCTGCCTGAGCCCCACCAACACACCTGCAAAGAGCCCTGACTTCCCTGTGAGGTACATGATTACCAATGGCACGGTGAGGAGCAAACCCAAAAGACAAGACTGTGCAGGTTCCAGAAGCATTCTTGAGGCCATTTGTGCATTCTGGAGCTCCAGGCCCCCAAAGCATGATCTGGAAAATGGTGGTTATGGAGGTGGCGTGGACTTTTAGAGGGCAGTCCTGGTGACTACACTGGGTTACCTGAATCTGACTTGCTTTTAGCACTGGAAGTCCCATGTCCTGTGAAACCCTTCACTGGGATGTTAAAAGCCCCACTTTTCAATCTTGTGTCGGAAGATTAAGAGTGAAAAATCCCGTATGATGGCAACCCTGTTTCAGTGTGAAATAAATATGGTGCAAATCATCTGTCTTCCATTGTCCTTGTAAGTGGGTTGTCTCCTGATCATTTCTGTTGGCAAAGACAGTTTGTGGTCCACAAAGACAGATGGCCCCTGGCTGCTCCCTCTGAATGATGTGACCAAAGTCCGCATCTGAAGGGGGTCCTCATTCTGAGTAGGAACGGGAGGCAGCAGCTCTGCCTGTGGATTAACTCTTGTGTTTTATATTGAGATAGTATGAGTGTGATTTTTCACATTGTGAGTATTATGTTTCCAGAACTCTTTTGAAAAGTTTAGATAATTAAAATGAAAGCAATTACAAAGAATCTGTTTAGTCTTACTAATTACTATTTACTGCCACTGTTAACTAGCCAATTGTTTTGTTTAAATAATAGCATTTATGCAAAAGAGAAGTAAATAATGACGAACGTGGTAATATAATTTCAAATGGATGCTTACTTTTCATATGTTAGTGACACATTAATAACACTTATGTCCATTTTTATATTTTATTATTAATTATTATCATTATCATTATTTTGTCTACCATGGCTGTGCCCTTGACTGGTTCTTTAAAAAGCTGATCATCCTTAAGGCAAGTTCTACTTGCCCCAGGACTCCTTGTCTTGTGAAGAAAGTTATGACCTATGACGGGTCAGAGTGGGGTCAAAGCCCCACTACAAATGGCTCCTAATGTACAGGGACACCAAATTCTGATTGATACTTTAAAAAAAAAACACTATTTGTGTGTAATTAAAGGCAAATACCATAATTGAGTATGGTTTGAATTCTATACAGCTGCCATAGAACCATGTGGACGAATAGATTTGTGAGTTTACAAAGGAAATTATTTTGCAAAGAAAAATCATTTATTTTTGATGATGCTCACATTCAAGATCTCATTTTTTAATGTTACTGGGAAGCAGATGCTAAACTGCAAAATTAACTAGCGATTGCATTTCAGAAAGCAATGATATCCGACTCTTTATTAAGTTTACCGTTCCGTGAAGAAAGAGAAGAGCTTTTCTTCCATTAGCAAAGCAAATAGTACATCTGTGCATAAGAAAATGCAAGACAGAATTTGGTGGGCGAAATTCGTTGTTGTGGAAGGAATAATTGGCTTGTAGGTACCGCAAGTTTTATATCCCAGATCTTAAATCAGATAGGATCTCACAGGTTTCAAGCATTTCTTACCCTTGGTGTTTAGTTTTATTTTGATTCTAAGCCTATATAGATTGTATTAGGACAACAAAAAACAAATTTCAGACTAACAATGAGGGAGGAGAAACTCAGTCTCTGAGCCTCACTGTCTTGGCTTGATGCTCTGTAAGCTGAGAGTTTGGGGGATCCCTTCCACCTGCATGCGGCCTAGGAATGAGGAAAGTGTTGGCCTCACAGAATGAATGTTGAATATTACCCATGCAATCTGACTGAATTCCTTTATAGTTTTTGTTTCCTTTTGAAATTGTCCCTGAGTCTTTACTAAAGTCTTCTAAAAATTACTAAACTAATCCTAGCTGTATGTAAGCACAGTATGAAGTCCCAAGCAGGACTAGATCAAAGGGGAGCATAGGTGAAGGTGACCCTTGTATACGAGGTTTAAGACTTTAAGGCCTGTTCCCTTTCCCAGGTGAACCTTAGCCCTACAGTATCAACCTCGGAACAGCAGGTTATTATTTTTATTAATAGAGACAACGGTTTCATTCTACATGGATCACCCAGCATGGGAACTTTAGTTGGCAACATAGTCAGATTCTTCTGGGCAGTATTCTGTGCTTTTCTCTTGGGGTTTCCCTCCAATGCACTGCTGCATCCCTTCCCAGCATCTCTTAGGGCGTAGCTAAACTCTACACCATTTTGTACCTCCTCTCCATCATTACAAAGGATGATTTTTCTCTAACAGAGATATGGGGAGCATGTGTGTCAGATACCTAAGTGTATCCTAATTCAGGTTCTTCTCAAGGAGGCTTGTAATGACTGATTCTATGTCACCTTGACTGGGCCATGGTGCCCAGATAGTTGGTCAAACATGATTCTGGATGTTTTTATGAGGGTGTTTTGTTTGGATGAGATGAACATATAAATGAAAAGGCAGTTAGTCTTTCAACTTGGAGCTCCCCAGGTCTCTAATCTGCTGGTCTACCCTGTAGATTTTGGAATTTCCGGCCTCTATAATCACATGAGCCAATTTCTTAAAATTGGTATCTATCTATCATCTATCTATCTATCTATCATCTCTCATATATATACTATACTATAGCATATGTATAGTATATATTATATAGTCAGAGTGGGGATTAAGGGCCTTGGGGGTTGGAAAATAGTCAGGTGTTTTTCCAACTGGCATGACAGGACTTTGAGGGCTGAGTAATCTGAAAGGCCTTGTGGAAAGGATGAGACAAGCTGCAAGCTCCGTTTGACCAGTATCCATCCTGGGGGGGTGAGGAGGGTCTCCTCAGCAGGTGCTAACTTGGGCAGAGGCTGCCCCCAGTCATCAGGGATCACTCCTTGAGGCCATGACACTAGATTGGCCCTCTGGAATGTAGATACTATCCCAGAAACATGTATGTATGTAGGAGGATACTATAAAAGCACAAGATAAAAATAAAGATAATTTCTAGACCAAAAAAAACAAGAAAGAAAGAAAAGAAAGAAACCAAGAAGGATCATCATGTATACATATGAAACAAGTATGAGCTTTATAAGGCAATAAATAAAGTACCCACCTTTTCCAACCAGCTCCAAGTCCTGACTTCCTTGCTTCTAACCTTGATGATCCCATTTACCAAGGCAGAATATAATGGAATCACATGTATGTGAGTTCCTATTCTACCTCCTACCTGTGTATCCTCCTACACATAGTAGGAGGCAAGACTAAATTACTGAAGTTTACCCTAAATTGGCAAGACTTAAGTGTTCTAGCTTTCTACTGTTGGATGAAATGAGATCTTGAGATAGAAAATAAATCAATAAAAGTTACATCTGTTTGTACACTAAACATGTGGATTTAATATTTATTCCCATTTTGATCATTGGCTTCTAACGGTCAATTAATTCATTTTACAAACACAAACTTTCAGTGTAAGAAGAAAGAATCATTCTCCTAAAAATAAAGAAGGAAACTAGAATAGAATTTGCAAATTGATAAACCACGTGGAAGAGCCTCATCTGTTCCCACATCATTAACTATTCATTGTTACACTGCTTACTTCCAAGACGTATGTGAGCCTGCTCTTTCCTCCACATCACTACTGGAGCATGTCCAACCTCCTGCCACAAACTCAGCACACACAGGGAGAAGAAGGCTGGACTGGGGCCACCAAAAAATCTCTGCTCTAATCCCTAAACCAGTGCTCAGCAGGAACGTAATAAGTTGTTAACTGAATGAATGAATGCATGAATTTTTAACTTGCTTTCTAAAGAAATCGACAAGGGGATCTGTCTACAGGCAGATTTTATTTGGTTTTTGAAATTTAGACTGATTTTTCTATCACTTTGCAAACAGAACAGGGGTACGCGCACTCCACCGTGGAGTTTTAAATGAGGAAGTGTCCCAAAGCTTTTCGCTGTTAACCGGTAATCAGGTAGGGAAAGGAAAGTTTCTGGCCATGAAAATTCTTCTCTGTGAAGGGAACAGCTCTCAACAAAGGAGGAGATGGTGTTCTGTAGGGCAGGAGCATAACTAAGGCTGAGGTCCCTTTCAGATTATTCCAGACATTCTTATTCGCCGGGCTTACATGCCCTCCAGTGGGGGAGAGGATAGAGGAAAACCCATGTTTGCTGGGTTTGCCTTGTTGGGCAGAGGGCAGTTTCTTAGTCACTTTGGTGGAGAACTGCCTCTAAGGTCTTGTCCCTGACACTCTTCAGGAAGCTCAGGACTACAGTCCCACCTGTGCCCCTCTCTTCTAAGGCTTGAGATGGCCCAGGGAGACGGTTTGGCCTGCCCTTTGCTTTGGTGGCTGCTGTGATGAGGTATTTGGTTACCACAGCTATGTGGTAGCTGCGCAGGTCTGCCAGGGCTTCCACACACTGGTTATAGGCTGTCCGAAGCTGGCCATTTGCAGAGGACAAGATGTGGTCTCTCAGTGACGGGCTTGAGTGGATTTCTTCTATAAAGGCTTTATGGGAAGGAGGCATGTACTCCCTCATCCTATGCAGAAAGTCAGCTGAAAGAAACAAACCAGAACAATATCACAGCTCCACATGGAAAGTTAAGAGAACTTGTCAGCTCTTCCAGACATCAGTGCAGCAAAAACTTGCTTTTGTCCTAACTGTCCAATCTGCACTGCTAGATCTTTTGCTCACAGACGTCAAATGCTATATTTTTGACCACTGATAGGAGATGGAGAAGGAAAAAAGAAATAAATACACCCCTGATCACTGCATTGGAACTAGATCTATCATCCCATGTATAAATATTTATCCCATACACAAGATGGGGCAAAGTATCTTGCTAATCATGAGAGATATCTACAAATATAAGACATAAAACCCTTAAAAGTTATTTGCTAAACATTCTGCCAAATTTTGCTTCCTACGTGCTTTTGTTTGGAGGGAGTGCTAAGGAGGAGGAAAGTAACAGAGTTTATAAGGGCAAGAAAATGAAGAATGACTAACCGTTTTTTGTAATAGCCCCTTGAAGTCAAGGTGTTTAAAAATAGAATAGATATTTATAGGAAATGTGGAAAGAGAGATCATTTATAGGATATCCGTTAGGATATAGGATATCCATTAATACTGCCATGGTTCTTGTCAACTGACTTTTGTGGCCGAGACTGGATCCTATGACACAAAGTTCTAGTCATTTCTTTTCCTGATCTAACTTGAAAACTCTGTAGTCTGCAGTGCCCTTTTGCAACTATAAACAGTGGCTTGCTGCTGGCAGGTAAGGAAATGAACAATTTCAAGCTTCTAAACTGGTAGACCCCTCTTCTAGTCTAAATAGACTTGGCCTGCGGTTACAGCATTTTTTTGGAGAAAGGCTTTGGTGGAGGAGCTCAGACCCATCCCCAGCTGTATCCAGACTTAGTAACTTAATGCCACAGCCTTCAAACTCCAGATCTCAATCCCATTTTAGAGAAAAGAGGCTACTACCTAAGGATCCAGACAAAACTACAGAGAACAGCCAGACACACAGCAGTGTTTTAAGCTTTGGACATGAAACCCAATCTCCTGCTGAGATCAAATATTCATTGACTTCATTGACAATAACATTGTTCATTGACAATAACATCTGGCAGGCACACAGCCTCCTGGTTGACTTGCAGTACAGACTTCATGGCATTTTAACTTACACTTGGTCTCATCAATTGGTAAAAACATCTCTGTTCTTCCTTCCTGTTAAGGAGCAGAAAGAGAAAGGAAGAGTCTGACTTACCACTTTCCTTGCTATGGCGAATGCCTAAGAACTCATCAAAGGCGTGAAGCACTGTGCTCTGAGCTGCACTCCCCCCGGTGTACTGCAGGGGCGCTGTGGAGACTCCTTCGTAGATCAGCCCCACAGGCATTGCTGGGTTATCCTTCCATCTAAGCCAGAGGAAGAGTCAAAGAGAAAGCGTGTTTTCTGATATGGAAACAGCAAGTAAGAAAGCAAAAACAGTGCCAGTGGTAATTTTAGAGCACAAGGCTGGATATTTTTGTAGGATATGTAATTAAGCATACTTTGATTTCATAACAAGCCACGGAATACAGCTGTTCCTTTCCTCAGTTGAAGGATCATTGCAGAGAAGTGAAGGATATTTAGAGAGGAATCCTTAGCACAGGTCCTATGACATATTTATTAGAAAAATTCATTTATAAAGATGCTATCAGTGCTGATGAATAGGAGCAATTTAGGGGTTCTAGAAAAATCTTTACCTAATCTCAACCTTGATGGCCTGATACCTTTAACTCTGCAAATAGTCTTTGAGAGCAAACACACACACTCACACACACACCCCTTTGCCCTTCCTTGAAATAGCTTTAACAGCTGTCATCCTGAACTATCAGTTTTAAATACTACCTGACTTTGTGGGAACACCTTTGTCAAATATGTTCTTGATAGCAGGTATTGATAACAAGGGCAGCAATAAAGAGAACACAGTACAACCCTGCAGGTTACCAGAGGGACGTGGAGATGGACTGGAATTGAGGCTGAGTCTTGCTTTCACAAAATGGGTTTTCTTCCCTTCCTCTCTTCTGTCTCCTTGATTCCATTCCTTCCAAGGTGTTAGCCTATAAACCCCCTGCACATTCATGTTCTCATTTGACCTCTTTTGAGTAGATGTAGGCAGTTTTTAAACCTCCTTTACAGATAAGCAAACAAAGACTCAAAGCCGTTAACGCTCCAGGGCCACATTGTTAGAAAATGGGGAAACCAGAAGGGAAATCCCAAACTTGTAATATCTATTTTTTTTTAAAGATTTTATTTCTTTATTTGACAGAAAGAGAGTGAGAGAGAAAGAGAGAGAGAAGAGAGCAGAAGCAGGAGAAGCTACAGTGGGAGAGGGAGAAGCAGGCTCGCTGCTGAACAGGGAGCCTGACTCGGGGCTTGATCCCAGAACCCTGGGATCATGTCCAGCCAAAGGCAGATGCTTAACAGACTGAGCCACCCAGGCACCCCAAACTTATAATTTTCTATTTTCATTTTCTCGAGACCCCTGCATGAGGATTTGCACTTTTACTAAGAAATAGTCTTTTTTTCCTCTGATTGCCAGGAATGACCCACAGTCCCTGTTGTGAACAGTTTAAATAACAGGCTTAAGTTGATGTCTCACCTTCTTCCTGTAATTCTAAAAGTCATTTTGTTCAAGAGAAGGGAACCACATCACACACATAGAAAAGCCAGAGCCAACCTGCTCAGCTTGCTGTTCATGACTTTTTCCAATACTTCCTTGAGATAGGAAATGCTACAAGGAGTTGGGCTGTCTTCTTTGCAGGCTGGTTTGGTCAGCTGTTGTATGGTTTGCCACTGCATGAATGTCAGAGTGATCTTTGCAGTGGGGGACGATATCACTCTGGAAACAGATGAGGCACAGAAAGCAGAGCCGGAGGACAGCAAAGGAAGGTTTCTGATCGTAAGATTAGAGCACGTTGTAGCTGTTGGGGGAAAGGGCTCTTTTTCAGGCAGATAGACAATGTAATCTCAGCTTTGATATTTATTAACTGTGACCCTTGGCTTAGTTAAACATCTCTGAGCCCCAGGATCCCTATCCAAGTGATATTAGGATCTACCTTACTGGGTTGTTGTGGGAATTAATTAAAATACTACCTGCTCAGGGCCTGGAACATACTAAGCATTTGCTAAATATTAGCCATTTTATAGTATTCAGAGCAAGTTGGAATCCCTGCTCCCTTCATTCATTATGTTGTAACTTTGCACGTACCTTCGTGAGTCTTTGTCCTAATTTGCACCTACTTCCTAAAGCTACTGCATAATTAAATAGGTTCTAGAGAAGTTTTATGACTTGTCATAGTTCAGTACACTGCTTCAATAAAATTTCTACACGACATTTTGTGGGGAAGGACTATGAAAAACATAAAAGGAGCAAAGACAGAGGCCACGCGGGTTCAGAGTTGTCTTTGCCATTCTGTGGATGATCTTAGATGGTCATTTTGGTCTCTTTCAACAGTCCCTCCTCATCATGACCACTTCCGTATGTTGGACTTTCTCAGGGCTCAGTCCTTGGACTTCTGCTACTTTCACTTCCCAAGCAGTCTTATTTAACTCCACTGATTTAGAAAGCAACTGTATTAGGACTACTGAAAAGCAAACACATATACCTGGGCTTCTCCCTTATGGTCCAGACCCATGTATTCAACTGCCTACTTATAGATATCTTTACCAGAAATGAACATGTCCGAAACTGAGCTCCCAATTTCCCTTCTTTTTGCCAAATTTGTTCTTCTGACAGCCTTCCTCATCAGAGAAAATGGCAGCTCCATTTTTTCAGTGGTTCAGGCCAAAACCTTAGAGTTATCTTCAACTAATCCTGTTCTCCTTCCATAAGCAATCTGATAGCACATCCCATCAACTATACCATCAGTCATGCCCCAAATGAATATTTCTCAGCACCTCTGCTGCTTCCACACTAGTCCAACCACCATGCTCAATTGTGGGATAGGTTCTTAAATGCTCCCCTGTTCCGTTCTTGTTCTCAAATCATCTATTTTCCATTTAGAAGATAGAGCAATGATTTGAAACTTAAGACAAATCCTGTCATTTGTCTCCAGACTTGCTACTGCTGCTCTTCTCTTGTAGAAAGGAGCCAACGAGCCCCTACATGATCTGGTCTTCCACTATCACTTGTATCTTTCTTGTTCTTCCCCATGCATATTCCATTCCAGTGACACCATCACTGCAACGATTCCTCCATGACAAACATGTTCCAACCTCAGAATCCTCGCAATTTTTGTTTCTTTTGCTTGGAACAGGTGTCTACATGGTTTAGGTCTCACTTCCTTCAGGTATCTGCACAATCGTCACCTAGAAGTGTGGCTTTCCCAGATAATAATAAATAAATAAGAAACTTCAGCCACCACCCCTACCTCTCCCCCTTGATGCCCTGTGTCTTACTTTACATTTCCCAATATTGCTTACTGTTGTAATATGTATTTTATGATACTTTCTCTAATTATATTTGTTTATGCATTATCTGTCTCCCATGATTAAAATGTAAGCTCCAGGATGCCTGGGTGGCTCAGTTAGTTAAGCATCTGCTTTAAGCTCAGGTCATGATCCCAGGGGTGTCCTCTGGCCCCTTGTTCAGTGCGGAGCCTGCTTCTCCCTCTGCCTGCTGCTCCCCCTGCTTATGCTCACTCTTTTTCTTTCTCTGTCAAATAAATAAATAAAATGTAAAAATAAATAAATAAATAAATTGATAAATAAATAAAATGTAGGCTCCATGGGAATGAAGTTGCTGTTTTGTTTTATTGTACCATTCCCAGAACCAAGAACTATGCCTGGTATATGGTAATCACTCACTAAATAGTGAATGAATGAATGAATGAAAAAAAATCATTCTATAATTCCATATTATATATCTAGAATATGTGGATCCAAATGTTTGTCTGGAAAGGACCTAACCAGCTTTAAAGAGCTATCAGATACTCAAATGGCCAAGAGACATTGATCAATCTCTTTTTGATGCCCCAACATGAAGAGGATGTATTAAAGCCACATTGAAGGTGATAGAGAAAATACCAGCATGTAAGGCAAAAAAGATAAAATAAGGGGATCTACTTTCAAAACCCATGTTCTCTCCCCTGTGATGAGATTAGTCTGAGGAAAGGAAATGGGGTTTCTCTGACTAGCTCAAGTATTGCTTCCATACACTCTCAGGCCCAAACTGCTGTTTGTAAAGCAAAGGAATTAGTTTCCTTTCAAATCTCTGTAGACAAGGTTATTTTTAGTCTTTCTCATAGCATATTTATAGGAAACCCAAGAGGAAGTGTAAACAGAAAGAAAAAAAAAGGAAAGAAAGAAATGAGATGACATTTTTCCACAGTGCTGATGACTTTCCTGTGAAATTTAATGTGATTGGGAAATAAAAAGAATATGTTTAATCTACAGATGATGAAACTCTCCTAAATAAAAATATTTTTAAAAGGTAAATAAAAACAGTAAATCAAACATAGGACAAACCAAAAATATAGGAGTAGATTTCAATTTTTCAAGACAACACTCTTGAGAATTCTTAACAATCCAGATGATTTTAGCCATCAACACTTGTCAATACATTTAAGATTTGGTGCTGGCCACTTGGTTGTGCTACATGGAAAATATCTTTGAGGATCAGACAGAAGGGAAGCATTTATGCAGATCACAGATAAGATGCATCACTGACCCTGAATTTATTTTAATGAAAACAGTATCACCCTGCAGTGACCATATCATCATGATGGGTAGAGTTTAAAAAATATTGCCCCAAGATTTCCATCCTAATTCTTAGAACTCCTCATACTCTAAGCTATCATGCCTGTCAATATGATGTATTGTACAGCAAGACCAAAGAGACTTCATAAATGTTATTAAGGTTACTAATCAGTTGACTTTAACATAGGGAGTTTTCTGCATTGTTTCTGTGAGCTCAATCTAATCATGTAAAACCTTAAAAGCAGAGATTTTCTCTGCTAGTGGCAGAAGGAGAAATCAGAGGGATTTAAGTACTAGAAGAATTGGAAGCACCATGACTGTGTTGCAGGATACCATGTGATAAGGAAAGCAGGAGGCCTCTCTAAACAGAGAAGAGATCCTATCTAACAGCCAGCAAGGAAACAGACCTCAGTTCCAAAACCACAAAGAACTGGATTCTACCACAAACCTGAAGGAGTCTGGAAGCAAATGATTCCCCAGATTCTCCTGATAACAGCTCAGCCCAGCAGATAGCTTGACCTCAGTGCTTGGAGACCCTAACAGAAAACCAAGCTGAGCTTGTCTGGCCTTCTGGCCTACAGAAATGTGAGTTAATGAATGTGTGTTGTTCTAAACTGCTGTTTTAATTTGTGGTGCTCTGTTATGCAATAGTGGAAGACTAATACAAACTTAGACCCCAAAGTGAAGCACAAAGAGATTTCCCAGATTTAAGTGCTTCCTAAATCCCTATTTAGGAATTTAGGAATGTCTATTTAAAATGTTTTTTAAAAATGGCCTTTTATTCTCTAATTCTACCAAAACCTATCTGCAAGTTTTGCTTAACATTTGTTGCTAGGATCACCACTGTACAATCAGATCTTTGTCTGAACCCTGAACACGTGCAAAATGCACAGAGAACAAGAAGAGTTCTAACGATATATAATCTCTTTAGGGGAGGATTTTGGGACTGAATGCGTACACAGCAAAAGTTTGAATTCTGAGAAACACTTCCAATTTCATTCTGTATCTTCCCCCCTTTTTTCTTGTTTCCTCATCAATCAGGTACCTGTTTCTTTCAAGTTATTCTCTAGAAACCTTCCTGCTTCCACTCTCTGAGCCCTGCAGTGAGGAATGCCTACCCAGGCTGGTCACCCCTTAGGCTGTCTCACACTCCAGACCTACTCGATCTAGAGGAAATACAATGTGAGTTCACATTGTCACCCCCTTCCTGCACCAATGTAATATACCACTTTATCTATTGATAAATCAATAAATCTGTTGATTTGGATGTTGGACTTGTCTCTTACTACTTCTAGGCACAGCTTCAGAGTCTTTCTGTCCATAGCCTTCTGGCATCTCCTAGTTATCAAGACGGAACACTAGATGAATTCTATTTCACATTTTTCACCTCATCCATTCACTATCTCTACTTTCCACTTCTCACCATTAAAAAAACCAAACAAACTTAATTGTCTCAGTTTACATGGGTAGGAAAGCAATTTGATTAAAACATGTCAAGGTATAACTAGTGTATTTAAAAGAAGAAATGTATCTAAGGGTAGAGTTCTCTATCTGGAGCAATTAACAGGCCATGTGACAAAAGAGACCTGAAAATATGGACAAATGACTTGTGGTGGCTCTTCCAGGAACTTTAGAAGAAAGCTTTTAAGCCTCTTTCTCTGCTCCCATCTGCCTTAGTAAGGAGGAGGAGAGAATGGATATAAATGGTAGAGCTTTGTGGTTGCATACTGGGCTTTTTTTTCTGCCATTGAGATGGGATTTTAAGTGAATACAAATGAATCTAACATGGTGGCCTAAGGAAAACTATCCTAATCTTAAATGTTTAACTCCAGTGTCATTTGTCATGTAGATGGTACCCATCTATACCTCTTTCACCCAAGAGTGGATCCAAATTATCACTTTTCCAGCAAGAGTTTCTTGGTGTGTTTCTTGCTCTAGGAATCTTCTGTCTCCTCTCATAAATTTGGAATATGTTACAGAGGACTCGTGCAGGAAAACAGTTGAACTGTACTTACCCAGAGAGAAAGATCCGGATGACTGCATAAAATATGTCTGGATCAACATAATCTGGAGAAGCAATCAAAATGTGAACTTTACTACAGGCAAAAAAAGCAATTGGTAACATGTGCTTGGGTCCTGCTGCTCTCCTGGGGTCGCCCCCTCTATCTGATCTTCATGGAAACCTGGAAGACAGCAGCAGGAGGGGGATGGAATGTTCTCTTCTGTGGCCCCTCCCTGGCACTTTCAGAACTTTTAAACTGTTCCAAATGCTGCCCCTTTCTATTTGTGGCACTTCCCTTTTCTGAACTTCATAACAACAAAAGGAGAGGTCAAGGCCATCTTTAAAAAATTAATATTCTGAAACAGACATGATATTTGAAAGAATGTAGGAAATAGAAAGAAGAAAAGCAGAAAAAAAGAGTCATCCCTCCCAAGGCTTTCACAATAGAGGAAAACTAAAGTCATCGGTGCTCAAGCAAAGCTCTGCACAGGCAGGCGACCAAGGACAGAGGGGAGAGTGTCATGCTGGGGGGCTGCTACCCCAGGTCCGGTATAGGTTCCTAGAGCTGCATTCCTTGGTCTGTGCAGCTAGTGCTGCACACTCTAAGCCAGTGCGTGGGGTTAACTGACTCCACTAGTTTACTAACTTGGGTTTAAAGAAACATGTTCTCACATTTGTACCACATTTCTTTTCATTAACTTTTGAAGACTGTTCCTTCTTCTCCGCATAGTAGGGCCCCTTTGTGACCCGGCATGTTTCTCTCACCTGGATTCCTATGTTCCCTCATTTCTCTTTGAGGGAAAAAAAAAGAAAGAAAAACAAAACAAAACAAAACCCCAAAAAACCAAAACAGGGGTGCCTGGGTGGCTCAAGCGGCTGCCTTTGCCTCAGGTCATTATCCCGGGGTCCTGGGATCAAGCCCCACTTCGGGCTCCCTGCTCAGCGGGGAGTCTGCTTCTCCCTCTGCCACTATCCCTGCTTGTTCTATCTTGCTCTGTCAAATAAATAAATAAAATTTTAAACAAACAAAACAAAACACCCCCAAAAACATCTTTTTTTTTTTTGAGACCCAAATCATGTCATCTCTATACCATCAATTCCCTTTTCTACCATCATACCTACTCTCTGTTCCTCCATCTCTATGTTCTCTGAAACCCCATAGGCTGAGGTCACTTATATCTTCCTTAAGACTCAGCATTTCCTGGTGCTTCTGAGTGATGTCACAATCTCTCTGCTCTTCTGTGACAATGTCCCATGTGCTGGACTTTTATGTGGGCCCTGTTTCTATGTCTTCCCCATCTGGTGCTCTGTTCCCACAAAAATGCTAACTATTACGTACAAATTTTTGCTGAAGCAACAATGACAACCAACAATGACCATTATAGTCATAAAAGTAAAATGATTAGTCAATAGATATAAAATTATTTTAATGTAAAAAATTGTCAATAGATAGAAAAAATCCATTTATGATTATAATAAACAAAAATTAGCCAATTAAGAATAGGGGGAACATTATTGAACTGAAAAAAGAAATCCACAGCCTATTGTACATTTTGTACTTGATATTGAAAGATTAAAAATAAGTGTTTTAAAATGTGGAATAAAACAAGTATCATCACTTCCATTCAACACAGTGTTAGGAATCCTAGCCAGAAGAGTATGAAAAAAAAAATACTTAAAGAAATAAAAGTTGTAAGTATTATAAATGAAGGAACAAAACACGATTCTCAAATAATATTTTAACATTGGAAACCCAAGTAATCTGCAAATAATTATTAGAATTAATAAGAATGTTTATCAAGGTATTAGGTTCAAGGTTAATAGTCAAATATCAATTTCATTTTATAAACCAGCAACAAATAGTTAGGAGTTATTTAAGTCAAAAGACACCATATTCGGGGCATCTGGGTGGCTCAGTGGGTTAAGCCTCTGCCTTTGGCCCAGGTCATGATCTCAGGGTCCTGAGATGGAGTCCCACATCGGGCTCTCTGCACAGGTGGGACCTGCGTCCCACTCTCTCTCTGCCTGCCTCTCTGCCTACTTGTATTCCCTCTCTCTCTGTTGAATAAATAAATAAAATCTTAAAAAAAGACCATATTCACTAGACACAAAAATATAAGGTAATTTTAAGAAAAAAAACTAGAAGATATCTAAGTCTCTAATTTTGAATGAAATTTAAAGAAAATTCAAGAAATTAAAGAAGAAATCTATGTTAATAGAGAAGAAAACTCAGTATCAATATCAAGGAGAAGAAATATATCTAAAGAAGAGTTCTCTATCTGGATAAATTTTAGCCAGTAGCCAACAATATGAAGGCAAGATTTGGAGTGGCTTGTCCAACAACCCTAGTTGGTGTTTCTGTGCTATTCTCTGACTCTCCTCTTTCTTGATCATAAGACAGAAAGACTGGACATAATATCAGAATCATGTCATTTTTCTCCAAATTAATATATGGATTTAATGCAATGTGAGCAAAATTTTTAACAGATTTTTTTCCCAATCAATTTGAAAAGCTGATTCTGACATTTTACATGAAAGGCAAAGGGTCAAAAATAGCACAGTTACCTCTGGAAAAGAAGGGCAAGATGAAAATGAGAAATGCTATGAAGCTATAGTTCTTAAATGAGATTCCTGCTGGGAAAGACAGACAATGAAAAAAAAAGGGGGGGGGGGACCTGGAAACAGAGCCAGTCATTTCAGAAAATCTGATATAAGACAGTGCCAATATTGCAGATTAGGGATTAAAAAAAAAAGGAAACAAATCATTTCTATGTCATGTTACATAAAGATAATAATTACATGAATTAAGGACAAAATGTGAAAGACAACAGTTGGAAAATGCAGGAAAATATACTTATGATCTACGATCATGAAACAATAACTTGGGCAAGACCTTCTAAAAGACAGACTTCTGCAAAAGAAACGACAGATACCTTGACTGTATATAAATTAGAAAGTTCTGTTTTCAAAAGTCATGAGACAAACCGCAATATCTGCAACACATATAACTCATAAAGAGCAGACCACCAGGATGTACAAAAAAAACTTACAAAGGGATCAAAGATAAAAGGCCGTTAAAAACGCATTCACAAAAGAGAGACTTCAATGATGGGACCCACCAGCACGCACGCGCGTTAAGTCAGAGACTGCTGGACTGACGTCATCATCATCGCAGAGTAGGAGTTTTCACTGTCTGCCCACAAAGAACACTGTTCGGACAATCACGCGTCAACCAGAGAGGCTTTGTGACGGTCCGGGAAGTCATGCACACCGTCCGGCACACCCCTGGGCAGAACGACCAGGAACTGGCCGTCGTGAGGAGGGTAAGATCACTGCACTTGAATCACATCACCGTGTCCACAAGGCAGTACGGCTCGGTGCTAACAGACACCTTCCAGGGCTGTGATTCTTCCCGCGAGGGAAAGTGGGAGCCTGTGAGTGAGTGCCCGGGTCCCCCAGCTGCGTGGAATCCTGGCAAGCAGACCCACGTCCTTCTCACCGCATCCAGAACACGAGGCGTGCTGTGCCGATGGGGGAGACGGCGTGGCGAGGAGCTAGGAGAATGCCAGGGCTCTGGGGGCATTAAAGGGACGCAGATCATACTGGTCACCTCACAGGTTCCATTCAGAAACGCCCCCATGAGATGCTACGAAAGCTTCCCAGGCAGATCACCCCAATACCCTTAGTGCTCCAGGGTCTCACCCAGCCTGTGGCCAGCTCCTTGTGTGCGCTCCCGAAGGCAGAAAGAGTGAGCCTTTGCTGAGATTCGTGAGCTCCTGTAGCAAGCTGGCTGATTCTGTGGACTGGGAGAAAGCACATAAACTCTTGCCTTGGACACCGCCCTTGGAAAGGCAAATGGAAGGCCGTCTGCACCCAGCCGGTCTTTGCAGGATCAAAAGGCACACACAGTTAAAAATTTTGCCACCAGAGGGAGCAAGAAGAATGGAGCGGGATCGCCATAGACGGTCTGAGAAAGCCTTGGAATCCCTATCAGGGCTGATGGAAGGTGTTTCTCTCCTGAAACCAGTGGGTAAATCCTGGAGGAGGTGAATACTTAAAATATTTCTTGAAGCAATGCAGAGCTTCGTGGAACATTAAAAAAAAAAAAAAAAAAAAAAGGCAAGGAAACATGATACCACCAAAGGAACAAAATAACTTTCCAGCAACTGACCCAAAAGAAAGGCAGACCTGTGATATTTGCCTGATAAAATTAATTCAAAGTATCGGTTTTAAGGAAGCTAGGTGAACTATAAGAAAACTGAGGGTTGCTAGAGGGGAGGGGCATGGAGGGATGGGGTAACTGGGTGATGGACTTTGGGGAGGGTCTGTGTTGTAATGAGTACTGGGTATTACATAACACAGACCTGTACCTCAGAAACCAATAATACTTTATGTTAATTAACTGAATTTAAATTTTAAAAAAGAAAACACAGAAAGGCAATTCAATGAAATCAAGAGAACCGCACATGAACAAAATGAGAACTTCAACAGAGAGATAAAAATCATAAAAAAGAACAACTAGGAAATATATTTTGGTGACAGACTCTGAGCACTGTTCAGAAATACGAAGTAGAAAACTTTCTGCTTCATTAACATGTAAGGTAGGAGAACCACGTAAGCACTTTGGCTTCTGGGTCGAATGTGTGCTAAGAAGGATGGTTCTTAAAAGCCAGTGTCACAGAGGATCTAAGAACACACCTGAGTTACACCTCCTCCTTTTCCTTCCACGTGGCTTGCCAGTAAAGTGGGAAAAAGGCACCAAGGACTACACCTTCTGCCCAGATGGCCAGTTGCAGGTCCATTTAGTGCCTGGCCAGGCATCTTCCAGTGTTTCCTTGGTTGTGTTCAGCCAAACACAAAACCTGTGGGTCAAGCATCCTTCTCTTTTAAATCCAAGTGAATCTCTAGAGAAATAGAATGTCTGCTTTTGATTCATTTACACCGATAATAATTTTGTGTCATAAGCATTATTTTTGATTCATTTGGAAAACCTAAGGAGACTTGTTGTTAAAGTTTTCAGGGGTAGAAATTTAGATTTTATATTGAGAAGTAGTCTTTACACAAA